TATGACAATTTAAAATAAACATTGTCTCGAGGAGTAGATATAAACTATGATAATTTAAAATAAACATTGTCTCAAAATGAGATATAAACTATAATAATTTAAAAGAAACGTTGTCTCAAGGAGGAGATATAAACTATGATAATTTAAAAGAAAGTTGTCTCGAGGAGTAGATATAAACCATGATAATTTAAAAGAAACGTTGTCTCGAGTAGTAGATATAAACTATGATAATTTAAAAGAAAGTTGTCTCGAGGAGTAGATATAAACTATGATAATTTAAAAGAAAGTTGTCTCGAGGAGTAGATATAAACTATGATAATTTAAAAGAAACGTTGTCTCGAGGTCCGAGGAATAGATAGATACAGGGTGTCCCTACGAGGAATAGATAGATACAGGGTGTCCCACATCAGATTAGACCGCGTCAATGGTTCAAAATTACGATTTGGGAGAAATATCAGAATATTTAAGAAGAATGAATCATTTCTAAAAAATGAAGGTTTGAAAAAAGAGGAGGGAAGAAAAATACAAAAATATGTGTTGGGAGGAAGAGAAAGAAGAGAATAGGTTCAGAAATGGAAGCTGCGAGGAAGTACAGCGATTGTGAGAAATGAAGGAAACGGTACTAAATAAAGGTTTGATAAAAAGAAAGAAGGGAAAAGCTAAATACATAGAAGTAAAAGCAACACACAAATTGGGACTGGAAGGATCAGAAGGAGGGGAGAAGATACAGAATAGAGGTTACAGGAGGAGGAGAAGGAGAGGAGAAGGTAGAGAATAGAGGTTGCAGGAGGAAGAGAAGGAGGGGAGAAGGTACAGAATAGAGGTTACAGGAGGAAGAGAAGGAGGGGAAAAGGTACAGAATAGAGGTTACAGAAGGAAGAGAAGGAGGGGAGAAGGTACAGCATAGAGGTTACAGGAGGAAGAGAAGGAGGGGAGAAGGTACAGAATAGAAGTTACAGGAGGAAGAGAAGGTACAGAAAAAAGGTTGGGAAGAAGAGAAGGAGGAAGAAGGAGGAAAGACAGTACAGAAGAGAAGGAGGAAAGACCGTACAGAATAGAAGTTGGAAAGAAGAGAAAGAGGGGAGACAGTACAGAATAGAAGTTGGGAAGAATAGAAGGAGGGGTGACCGTACAGAATAGAAGTTGGAAAGAAGAGAAGGAGGAAAGACAGTACAGAATAGAAGTTGGGAAGAATAGAAGGAGGGGTGACCGTACAGAATAGAAGTTGGGAAGAAGAGAAGGAGGAAAGACAGTACAGAATAGAAGTTGGGAAGAATAGAAGGAGGGGTGACCGTACAGAATAGAAGTTGGAAAGAAGAGAAGGAGGAAAGACAGTACAGAATAGAAGTTGGGAAGAATAGAAGGAGGGGTGACCGTACAGAATAGAAGTTGGAAAGAAGAGAAGGAGGAAAGACAGTACAGAATAGAAGTTGGGAAGAATAGAAGGAGGGGTGACCGTACAGAATAGAAGTTGGAAAGAAGAGAAGGAGGAAAGACAGTACAGAATAGAAGTTGGGAAGAATAGAAGGAGGGGTGACCGTACAGAATAGAAGTTGGGGGGAAGAGAAGGAGGGGAGACAGTACAGAATAGAAGTTGGGGGGAAGAGAAGGAGAGAAAAAGATTGGGAGTAGCGGAGGAACAGTTTCATAAATAGGAGAAGAAATAAAAATATTTGTATAGCTCTGCGCCTCAAAAATTATAACTTTATAAACACTTTTGGTTAAAGATAAAAAGCACGCAGTTTCGAGTGTACTTGCTTCTCTCAAGGGGACTAATCTGGGGGTGGGTTGCTTTTTCTTTCCGGGGACCGAAACAACTCATGGAAATCATGGATATGACTGATTTTGGATATTACCCCCTCCCCCTGTATACGCCTCGAGATTCATGCTTTTCTTAATTTCCATGCTTATTAGAAAATGGAAAGATGGCTGACGACTTTATAAATACAAGTTCAAAGAAATAATTACAAATAATATATAATTGAATAAATTATTTCCATCCTGGTATCCCACATCCAGTCACCTTTCAGGCTGATGGGAGGTGGCAACTTTAATTCAAGAACACGATATTTTAATTTCTAATAATATCGGGTCCAAAAAATATTTAATCGGTAAGAATATATATATATATCTAAATTTAAATTATATTAAGATAAAGAAATCAAGTTTTCATGAATGTATTTTTTATCTTGTTAAACTCTTTTAAATTCATTAATAATAATAATAGTTCACCCTTTTCATGAAGGTTTTTCGTATTTCATACTTTTTGTTGACTAAAATTTCCAAATATTAAAGCATATAAAGTGTTTTACGCTATTTTTGAAGGATTTTGAATAAACGATTAGTATATGACTGAAAGTATGTCATCTCAGACGTTGCAGTAAGTTCTATGTTTCCAGAGACAGAATTTAAAGAATTTGAATTTGAACTAATAGTCGCAGCGCTCGGCGCCCTAGCCTGTCCTAGCAACAGTGCTCGGCCCAGAAATTGTCTTAACCTAACCTAACCCTGAAATAATACAAAAAAATATTTTTTTCCATTTTCACCCTTTGTTGTTTTACCCTTTGTCGCGTTTTTGACCGTTTGTCGTTTGACCCTAGGTCGCTTGACCCTATGTCGATTGACCCTTGGTCGTTTGATACTATGTCAGTGAATGTTTCCGATAGTGTAACAATAGAATATTTTAAAAAATAACAAGTAAAGTTGTGTGAATAGTGTAACAATAGAATATTTTAAAAAATAACAAGTAAAGTTGTGTGAATAGTGTAACAATAGAATATTTTAAAAAATAACAAGTAACATTGTGTAAATAGTGTAACTGTAAAATATTTTAAATAATAACAAATCATCTTTTATATCCAATAAGAATACATTTCTATACTACTTTTTAAGTGGTGGAATTTTTCTAGTTTATAAAAAAAATAATAATAATTGCATCTTTCAATAACTTATTTAATAAACCTGATACCCTTATATTCTAATAGTAAACTCTTATTTAAACAACATACTACATGTCTTAGTTAGAAAATAAATATGTATGGATAGATCTAAAATAAGAATTAATTAAAACATAAGAAAAAGAAATAATTATGTAAACTTTTTATATCTTTCTTTTATCTTTATATTAAGAAAGTGTTTTAGAGCTTCTAAGAGGGATGAAAGAAAAAATGTATAAACATCCTTCCTAAAAAATTGCAGTACACTACTTTTTAAACAAAGAGATGTAGATTCTGTATGTTTCATATTTTTTTCCTGTATGTCTTACTTACCCCTATGTGCACCGCAGTTAATATAGTATATGACGTGTGTATTTGAAAAAATATGATATTAATGCACACATTATATATTGTTCTATGACTGGGATTTACATGGATCTAGTTTGCAGTGAGTGAGGTTGTCCGTCCCCATCAGCCTTTTTTTATTCGCTGGGCGGAAAACGATCTGAGGGATTTTTAAGAAAATGATTAAACAAAGATCTGTAAAATAAAAAAAATTATTTTAGAGAAGTAAATCCACGAGGATGGTTTTTCTTGTATTAGTTCTAGCTCAAGTTCTCCTCTCCGATGCCAGGGTGAGTAAACTACCCACAGAAGCTCTGATTCAATTCCTCATAAATCTTTAACTTTGAATCGGTGATTCAGCTGATTTTAACCAGTGGTAGAAAGTTTAGCGACTTCTTTCCAATTCATAAAATTCGGTTCCAATGTAATAAAAGAGTCAAATTATTTTCATTTTCTGCTTAACACAAACTCTAAATCTTTTATTTATTTTTAATTCCATGTTATTTTAATAATTTTGATCTCAAATTGAAAAAAGTTTGCCTTCGTCACGAAATTACTATAACCCAATACCATAATTACAATCAATTTTAAAAACACAACAATAAAAGTAATAAAAGTAACAATATTTTTTTATTAAATGAAATTTATTCTCTTAATGGCATATATAATTTCAAACTGGTTATAATTTGAAAAATATATATAAACGAATCATTATTTCCAATTCTAAAATATCTCTGAAGGAATTTGAAGACTTTCACAAGCTGATGAATCCACATGAACTTCAACATTATTTTGGAGTTTCTCATCATCAACATGTTAAACCACAGTCATACCAGGTTAACCATAGACTCTCCCTGCTTGTCCACCATTCCTCTCTTCATCGTCATTCACTTGGATCAATCCCACTTGAATCTTCTTTCTTGTTGAGCAGAAAGCACGCACCCTTTCACTGCGAGAGTTGTTGACAGCCGCCCCTCTGTCCTCCTACATCCGTCAGGTGGTCATAACTGCTAAACCAGATGTCAGCTTCAGAGGTTTTTGAAACCACAGGTTTGTGTGGAGTACGGGAATCGAACCCGTGAACACCATTCTGGACACCAATCCAGTTACTAGCTGTGGACAAGTGTGCTTAACTTCAGTGATCTAACGAGAACTGGTGTCGCACACTCTCCACCCCACCCCACTGAAATTATTTATTTTTAATTCCATGTTATTTTAATAATTTTGATCTCAAATTGAAAAAAGTTTGCCTTCGTCACGAAATTACTATAACTCAATACCATAATTAAATTAAATTTTTAAAACACAACAATAAAAGTAATAAAAGTAACAATATTTTTTTTATTAAATGAAATTTATTCTCTTAATGGCATATATAATTTCAAACTGGTTATAATTTGAAAAAAATATATAAACGAATTATCATTTCCAATTCTAAAATATCTCTGAAGGAGTTTGAAGACTTTCACAAGCTGATGAATCCACATGAACTTCAACATTATTTTGGAGTTTCTCATCATCAACATGTTAAACCACAGTCATACCAGGTTAGTGGGCAGAGCTTGCCAACGGCCTGGTCCAGGTCATTGGGCAGAGCTTGGCCATGGCTCGGNAAATTCTTAAATCAATTTTGTTGAAAGTTCAAGTTTGATTTGGGGCAAAATTAATATACAGTTATGATTATAATAATACTAAATATCAATATAAAACATTGTTCAGGTTTCTGTGTTTGGAAATACATACAACCTCAAGATGAAAAGAAACAATAAACTTCTTGCCCGAAATATGACTTACAGAGAGGTAAAAGAAACCAAAAATACTGAAGGAAATACTGGTTTAGCTTGCCTTTCCTCCTTTTTGGTGATAATTTTCACTCAAAATAATCAAAGAATTTGATTCCATGCCACAAACTTTTTTAGTGCGTTCCGAACTATCTTCGGGACGCCAGGTAGAATCTATATAGGCTATTACCAGTTTTCTGGTTCAGTTTTTTGGTTCTCACTGTAGATAAAACTTTTTCTAGATTGATGGACCCAGGACTAAAGATATTCAAATTAACAATGCTAAAAGGCTCAGGTACAACGTGTATTTAATATCATTATTATTATTATTTATTTCTTATCATTATTAATTAAATGACAAGAAAAAATTCATTTTGAGTTTTAAAATATAATAATTTAGATTTTTCAGCCAATTTGGTAAGCCGTTTGGCCACCTATAGCTAACGCATATATGTATATACATATATATAAGCGGAAAGCTTTATTATATAGATTGTATCAAAATTCTATATTTTAACTATAATTATCAAAGGAAGATTTGTAAACCATGGAAATCCTGGCGGAATCCAATAAAACATTACTATTTGATTAATTAAAAAGTTTTAAGATTAGCGGGATCCAATGAAAAGGTTTCATACCAACATTTTTTTGGGGATTCTGTACAATTACATTTTAAACCCGAAGAAATATTTATAGTTCAACAAACAAAATTTGAATATGTATTTTGTATTTTTTAGCCTTGCAGATGATACAGACTCTTGGGGGTTCAGGTAAAATTTATTATCAATCATCCATAGAAAAAAATTCAAACTTAAAAAAATCTTGTAAAAAGTTTTATTTTATTTTATGTTTAGTGAATGTGATCACTACCTTGGAATGGGAGCAGCACTCAGGAAATCAATTGTTTGTTTTTAAAAGAAAATTCATCATAATTTGAAAATTTAAATTTTAAAAATATAAAAAAACGAAAAATTTGAGAAAAAAACACGCAAAATGTTTATTTTCCAGTTCTTGTGGAGCAGAGGGGGTTCGTGGGCTAATATTTGACAACCAGACATATGAAGTATATCCTATAACAAAGGCAAGACAAATAAATTCAACATTGAAGGCGTAAAATCTAATCATCCTTAATTAAAAGGGTTACATGCCGGATTCACAACAGCGCCCTTTACAAAGAGAAATCCTTGGTTTTCTTTTTAAAATTGCTATTTTTCAATTGCGGTAACTAAATAAAACTGCCTTGAAGATTTATGCAGTAGAGAAAGGGATTAAAATTGAATAAATTGCTCCAATTTAGATAGAAAAATGACAAAACTTTCCTCTCTTTTGCGTATATACGAGAATCGTTGTGAATAGGTCTTTTAACTATCTCTTTCAATAGAAGGTCACCTGACATTTCGACAAAAGTTCCTTTTCAGTAAAACTTTTTTTCAGAATTCCATTGTCTTTAAATAATTTTCATGTAATAAATTTTAACTTTGATCTAATTGTTTTATTTTATTCAGAGAATGATGGAACTTTTTAGCGCTACAAACAGGTATTATTGCTTATTCTAAAAAAGTACTCATATTAAAAACTTTTTAAAATAGGACTGGACTAACAAGAGAACCACGTGGTCTCCCACATTTAATCAAAATGGCGGACAAAATACCGGAAATGGAAGATCTTGCCGTCGGCTCTTTCAAAACTAAAAACAAAAGAACTGGAAAACAGAGGAGAAACAAAAGTAAATATTTTCTGAATATTTTTCACTCTTAAATTCACACTTTATCTGTTCAGAACAGTTCAGAGCTGGTCGTCTTTACATAGAAACAGCTTTATTTCTTGATGCCGCAGCTTACCAGTCCTACAGCTACTTCTATAGTGCATCAGGATTCCCAAATCCAGACATCAAAATACGAGATCTGGTGCTCAGGTTCCTGCAAAATATTTTTTTATATTTTTATGTTTTTAAGTGACCAGTTTTAATAAAAAAAAATGAGACAAGGTTGAACCTTTTCTATTCAGTTTGAACCATCTCAGAAAAAAAAAAGTAGTTCAACTTTGTCTACACGGTTCAATTCTACTTATCGCTATTTATTAAATCGGGTTCCAAGTACAATAGTTAAAGAGCCTTTACTATCGAACCAGTGCAATATTTTAACCTTGAATGTCGATTTTTCGATTTTTTAAAATCTTTTGTTAGGCTACAAGCTGAAGAGATCTGAGTGATATATGTATTTGCAATTTTTAAGGAAAATATGATAATATCCAAAATCCAAAATTTTGAAAAATGTTTCAAGTTTGATCCAAGTAAAATTTGTCTAAATTATTTCAGCTGGATGAACTCAATACAAGCTCTTTACCACTTCCCATCTCTTGGTACTGCTGTAGACTTCTCTATCGTTAGACTAGAGATTCATAAAACACAGGTTATATTCAGATTATCCTTTCTATCATTTATTGTTAAAATTCAGTCTCTGCTTAAGCATGAACTTTCTGCAAATCTGAACGGGTGATGTGTTTCATTACAGGTTTATCGGCTTTCAAATGGCTTCGCAAAAATTTGACAGAGTTTCGCATATTTTAGAAGTATAAATATGGTCTGAAGTTTGATTTTATTACACTTTGCTAAAAATTGACTCTACCAGAAGATTTAGGCCTGAACGAATTTTCAAATTGATCGTGGACGAACGATTTATTGTGTGTTTTCTTTCATACTTTTTTCTTCTGTCAGAATCAAAATTTACAAGACACAAGAAATGAAAACTTGCGAAGAATATAAAAAATACGTGTGAGACTGCGAAGATTTTTGTAAAGCCAAAATAAAACCTTTAGTGTTAACACACGAACAAAATAATTTGCCCATCACTATTCTTGGGCTGAGTAAGGACTCTTTTCACTTGATTCAATTACTAAAATAAACTTTATTCTTTATTTTATTACAAATATTACAGCCTGCTGACTTCCCGAGCTATGATGGAGAAAGAGGACAACTACTCACATCCTTTTGTAATTACCAGGTCACTTTGCACATAACTTTGTAATTACATGGTCACTTTGAACATCATTTTTAATTACCAGGTCACTTTGCACATCATTTTGTAATTACCAGGTCACTTTGCACATCCTTTTGTAATTACCAGGTCACTTTGCACATCATTTTGTAATTACCAGGTCACTTTGCACATCATTTTGTAATTACCAGGTCACTTTGCACATCATTTTGTAATTACCAGGTCACTTTGCACATCATTTTGTAATTACCAGGTCACTTTGCACATCATTTTGTAATTACCAGGTCACTTTGCACATCATTTTGTAATTAACAGGTCACTTTGCACATCATTTTGTAATTACCAGGTCACTTTGCACATACTATTGTATTTATCTGGGAACTTCCCACTTCTATTCTAGGGTAAGAATAATCCTTTATTTCTTTTCTAGGTTAAGAATAGGTTTTCCAATCACAATCTTTGCACAAAAATCGTGCAATAATTGCGCAAAGATTTTCTTACGTTTCGAGTAAAAATTGCAAGAAATTTCGATATAATTTCGCATTGATGCGCAGAAGCTTTTTCGTGCAAATTATGAAGAACATCTTGGTTTTTACACATTTCGATATTCCTGGTATTTACCTATTTCGAGCTATTTCGTTAAATTTCGAGAAACCATTCCAGGATATGAATGTATCCAAAATTAAGTCAATCATTCAGAGCCCCAGTGCACTCCGGCACCTTTGGCCTCACTTCTAAGGTTTTAAGTAAGTCCCCATATAAGATAGGTAACAAACAAACAGACACCCAAACAAGAGAAATGTATACATACATCTAAATATAGATTCATAAATAGATAAACATATAGTGAATAGTGATGGCACCATTTTGCGTTTTTTTAAAACATATTTATCATTACAAATTTTTATTTAAGAAAGTAACCAACATTTTTAGCGTGTTAAACTAAAGAAAATGATAATAATGAAATTATTGTTCATGAATAAAATACTGCAGATATGGAAGTTTTTTTTACTAAAACTAATTCACATCATACTGTCAAAATATTTAAATCTTTTTTTATATTTGAGCAATAAGTCATAAAACAAATATTGCTTTTTTCGTATTCATGCGCAAAATCCTGCAAAAGTTATGACTTTTATTATGTATTTATCCGCAATTTGTGCAAACCTTGTATCGTATTGATACGAAATTATGCAAAATTTCTTGCAAAAAATGTCATTTCGTGCAAAAACACCAAACTGTTGCGCAAAAGAATTTACTGTTTTGTGGATCGAAACCCTAGTTAAGAATAATCCTAGCTATATTTCTTCTCTAGGGTAAGGATAATCTTATATTTCTTCTCTAGGGTAAGGATAATCTTATATTTCATCTCTAGGTTAAGGATAATAGTATATTTCTTCTTAGGGTAAGAAAAGTATCTATATTTCTACTCTAGGGTAAGAATAATCCTATTTGTATACTCTAGGGTATGAATAATCCTATATGTATACTCCAGGGTAAGAATAATCCTAAATGTATACTCCAGGGTAAGAATAATCCTATATGTATACTCTAGGGTAAGAATAATCCTATATGTATACTCTAGGGTAAGAATAATCCTATATGTATACTCCAGGGTAAGAATAATCCTATATGTATACTCCAGGGTAAGAATAATCCTATATGTATACTCTAGGGTAAGAATAATTCTATATATCTACTCTAGGGTAAGCCTAATCCTATATATCTACTCTAGGGTAAGAATAATCCTATATATCTACTCTAGGGTAAGAATAATTCTATTTATCTACTCTAGGGTAAGCCTAATCCTATATATTTACTCTAGGGTAAGAATAATCCTATATTTTTACTCTAGGGTAAGAATAATTCTATATATCTACTCTGGGGTAAGCCTAATCCTATATATTTACTCTAGGGTAAGAATAATCCTATATTTTTACTCCAGGGTAAGAATAATCCTATATTTTTACTCCAGGGTACGAATAATCCTATATGTATACTCTAGGGTAAGAATAATCCTATATGTATACTCTAGGGTAAGAATAATTCTATTTATCTACTCTAGGGTAAGCTTAATCCTATATATCTACTCTAGGGTAAGCTTAATCCTATATATCTACTCTAGGGTAAGCTTAATCCTATATATCTACTCTAGGGTAAGAATAATCCTTTATATCTACTCTAGGGTAAGCCTAATCCTGTATATTTACTCTAGGGTAAGAATAATCCTATATTTTTATTCTAGGGTAAGAATAATCCTATATTTTTACTCTAGGGTAAGAATAATTCTATATGTCTACTCTAGGGTAAGCCTAATCCTATATTTCTACTCTAGGGTAAGAATAATCCTTTATTTTTACTCTAGGGTAAGAATAATTCTATATATCTACTCGAGGATAAGAATAATCCTATATTTCTACTTTAGGGGAAGAATAATCCTGCCGGAGATTCGAATCCTCAGCACTGGGATATCGGGCTTCTTGTGTCAGGATTAGGTCAGGAATAAAGTCAGATAATATTTTTTTAAGGTATTCTGCCATTTTACCAGAATTTTTTATTTTCTTTCGTTACAGATTTCTGGTCAATGGAGGGAGGGAAAAAAAGTTATCTAACCATGGGTCTTGCAACTGTAACAGGTAAAATATTATTTGAAGCAATCTTCATGACCGGATAAGTTCAGTCGTTTTGACGTTTATTGGATACAAACAAACTCATGGGTATTCCGGGGCGTGACAAAGGCTAGATATAAAGAAAAAATGATCATTGTTTATACTCCCTGATGAGAATTGCCGTGTCAAAAGAGTTATAGCTTATACTTTAGCCATTTACCCACGCTCGGACGAACTTATTAGGATTTGAACCTGGTCAACACCAGGTATTCATATAACCGCAATATTCGACTTAATTTTAGCTAAATGTGTGCAGTGTACTGCAATGTTTATTGTTTAGGTCTCTGTAAAGTGTACTGCGTCTGCAACCATGAATAAATACTGCAACGTTTATTGTTTACTAATATGTATAGTGAACTGCAATGTTTATTGTTTAGGAATATGTATAGTGTACTGCCTTTTATGATTTTTAGTAATCTGTATAGTGTACTGCAATGTTTATTCTTTAGGAATATGTACTGCAATGTATAATGCTTAAGAATATCTATAGTGCACTGCAATGTATAATGTTTAATAATCTGTATAGTGTACTGCAATGTATAATGTATATGGTTTAGTAATCTGTAAAGTGTACTGCAATGTTTATTGTTTAGGAATATGTATAGTGTACTGCAATGTATAATGTTTAGTAATCTGAATAGTGCACTGCAATGTATAATGTTTAATAATCTGTATAGTGTACTGCAATGTATAATGTTTAATAATCTGTATAGTGTACTGCAATGTATAATGTTTATTAATCTGTATAGTGTACTGCAATGCATAATTTTTATTAATCTGTATTGTGTAGTGCAATATATAATGTTTATAAATCTGTATAAGTGTACTGCAATGTATAATGTTTATTAATCTATAGAACTGCAATGTTTAGGAATTTGCACGAACAACTACGGTTGTGTTATCGGAGAACTAGGAGTTAGGAGTCCGGAAGGAAAACCATATCCATCTACAGGTATATCTTTAAACCAACCATATCCATCTACAGGTATATCATTAAACCAACCATATCCATCTACAGGTATATCATTAAACCAACCATATCCATCTACAGGTATATCATTAAACCAACCATATCAATCTACAGGTATATCATTAAACCAACCATATTCATCTACAGGTATATTAATAAACCAACCATATCTATCTACAGGTATTCATTAAACCAACCATATCCATCTACAAGTATATCATTGAACCAACCATATTCATCTACAGGTATATCAATAAACCAACCATATCTATCTACAGGAATATCAATAAACCAACCATATCCATCTACAGGTATATCATTAAACCAACCATATCCATCTACAGGTATACCATTAAACCAACCATATCCATCTACAGGTATACATTAAACCAACCATATCCATCTACAGGTATTTATTAAACCAACAATATCCATCTACAGGTATACATTAAACCAACCATATCCACCTACAGGTATTTATTAAACCAACAATATCCATCTAAATTCTACAGATTTTCATTAAACAAGCCATATCTATCTACTGGTATTCATTAAACCATATCCAGCTACAGTTCTGTTTGATTTGCCAATGGTTAATTAATCAAAGGTGTATGTGATTTGTAACGAGCAATAAAATGGTCGAGATGTGTTCCATTTAAAGTAGAAAAACTGTTTAATTTTTTATCGGATAAAATAAAAATAAAAATATTGTCGATAAAGACTTAGGTTGAAAGATCACAAATATTAAGTTGATTTTTTTATTTGCCTTTTGTATAAATTGTATTTGTTTAAGGGTTTACGTCTGTATATGTGATGGCCCATGAGATCGGACATAACCTTGGGATGAGTCATGATTCCAGTGGTAACTCATGTGATGCTAATGGTTTTATCATGTCTCCTTCTAGAGGAACAGTTGGTGAGGATTAGATAGATTTCAATTCACTTTTCATCTTCTGCTGAGAATGTAAAATTGTTTTTGGATTTTTTTTTTGAAATAAAGATCGTATTTTTCTCAAATCTTGTTTGCTCTGACCATTTTAAAATTTTTCAAAATTTTGCTTTTCAAAAAGTTTTTTTTTTTTTGGGGGGGGGGGAGGTTTGAGACACATTTCGAGATTTTCACTTCAAAAGACTGGCAGAAACTTACTTTCATTTTCTTTAGTTTGTTTAGAGTTGGATTGGGGCAAAAACTATGTTTTAAGATAACTTTATTTAAAGGAGAGACAGCTTGGTCTCAATGCTCCAGAGATGTAATTTCTTCTTTAAACCTAGATTGTCTAACAGACCAGGAACTTTACAATTTCATAAATAATATAATAAGCAAAACATTCGCATTCGAAATTGGTTAATTGGATTGAAGATTGTAAAAAATTATCTTTAATTTACAGAATGACATGTCTGATGTTAAAAGCTTTGTAAGATCAAGATAAGATTTCCATGTTTTTAACTTTGAAAATGGAGTATTTCAATTTGTGATTTCTCTATCAAAGTAACTTCTGGATTTCTGCTGCAGAAGCAAGAGAGGAAATTTGAATTTAACGCTTGTCAAGCTAGACAAACTACAACTACGACGATATAAAGGTTTAAACGGTATCGTTCTAAATCGGACATGCCCCACTTTCTTTTTTTAAATGAAGGGTCACTTGAAATTACAACGACAATGCCTAATTATGAATAATAAAGTTTTTTTGAGTGAAAGCATTTAGAAAATTTTGTATTATTTAGAACACTCTCTACATAAAGAAAAACGTCCTTTTTTGCCTTAATCTTTAAATATCTAAATGTTGACAATAAGTTCAAAGGAGAATGTTGAAAAACAATTCTCTGTGCAGTATTACCTTTTCGTAATAATGTTGTTATAGATATATTATTATAATTGTATTGTACTGCAGCCTGCTGCTATGGTATCTGAACTAGATCATAACAAGTACAACAACAATCCTGGACAAACCATAGACGCAGATACACAGTGTAAAATACTGCTCTTTGATAACGATGCAAGTATGGAAAATAACGATGACAACATCCAGGATATATGTTCAAGGTTAGATTCAATATTCAGGATATATGCTCTAGGTTGGATTCAATATACAGGATATATGTTCAAGGTTAGATTCAATATCCAGGATATATGTTCAAGGTTGAATTTAATATCCAGGATATATGTCAAGGTTAGATTCAATATTCAGGATATATGCTCAAGGTTAGATTCAATATTCAGGATATATGCTCAAGGTTAGATTCAATATCCAGGATATATGTTCAAGGTTAGATTCAATATCCATCTTTTTATTCTGAAATCTCTGTCACTGAATCATGACATCATTTTATTATAAGAAAGGCGATTAACTCAAAATTTTTTTTAAAGGAAAAATATTTTAATATTAATACAAAATGTGTATTTCAGTTTGAAGTGCAGAAGTCCACATAGGATAGGTTACTACAGGTCAAATTATAAAAAAGTTTAGATATTTTTTTATAAAAAAGTTTAGATATTTTTTATAAAAAACTTCTAGGTTTTAATAATAAATACTCAGATCTGGGCCCGCCCTAGAGGGCACTCCTTGCGGTAACAATGTTATTTGTCAGCAAGGAGGCTGTGTTAAAAATACAATCAGGTATGTATACTATCTACAGTGATAACAAGAAAACTCTGAAAAAGGAAGACGACATTACAGCAATTCTTAAGTGTATTTGATGTTGTTACAATGCACATAGTTTTATTAAACAATCCTTATTTTTAATCACCAATTTAGTGAAATGTGTCTGTTCACACTCCACAAGTGATGTGTCGAATTCTTATTGGACTTTTTAAAATATTTCCTTGTTTTTAAAAGTCGTCTTTTTATTTGATAGTTTACTGATTATTACCGTAGTGCGTGACATTTACTTTACATTTTTACAGACCACTTTACAGATCACTTTACTCGCAGTAGTCCCAAAGTAGTCTCTTTTTATAAACATATTCTTTATTTACTTTATTTTTTAGTCCTGAAGAATTCTCTTTATGTAATCATATCCTTTACTTGCTTTATCCTTAGTCCTAGAATAGTCTTTTTATGTAATTTTTATATTTTTAATCCTGAAGTAGTCTCTTTCTGCAAACATATTGTTTATTTGCTTTATCTTTAGTCCTGAAGAATTCTCTTTATGTAAACATATCCTTTACTTGCCTTATCCTTAGTCCTAGAGTAGTCTTTTTATGTAATTTTTATATTTTTAATCCTGAAGTAGTCTCGTTTTGCAAACATATTGTTTATTTGCTTTATCTTTAGTCCTGAAGAATTCTCTTTATGTAAACATATCTTTTACTTGCTTTATCCTTAGTCCTGGAAACTCTTTATGTGAACATTTTTTTTACTTCTTTCATACTAGTCTATATATATAAACATGTCATTTTCTTGCTTTATCCTTAGTTTAAGGAGTAGTCTTTTAATTTAATTGTTTTGTCCTTAGTCCTGGAGTAGTCTCTACATCCTCCTGGTCTGATTGGTCCTTTAGTGAGTGCAAGTCAGGTTAACTAAATATTTACAGTCTTTCTAGTTCTCGAATTTTCTGATTTTTTTAAATAAGGAAACTTTTTTCATTATTGATCTTATTATTCTTGAATATTTTTATGGGATATTTAATTGTATAGAATACTAAGGAAAATCACTTCCATTTAGCGACTTATTTCTCTAATTTCCCATTAATTAATATGAATTATTTGATAAAAGTCGATAAAAAGAATATTTAAAAATGAAATAAATATTAATGTTCCAGGATGTCTAACCCGAAGCAAAGGGTTTGTTACTAAAACAAGAACATGCATAAAACAAACTCCAGTCAGGGAGAATTAAATGAAAATTATCTGTATGTATTGACTTTTTGATATTTTCATCTGTTAGATTAAAAAAAATATTTTAAAATTCTTAATTTTTTGTTGAATAATACTCAATTAAATATTAGTGTTTAAGTGCTGAAATATCCACTTATTATTTAAAACAATAAATCTATCTATACACTGACGTTTTTAAATTTAAAAAAAAGTTTATTTAAAAGGAGAAATAATTTTTTGTCGAAAATCATTTAAAACATAACAGTTCTGCTTCCTCATGTCCGGGTAACTCCCAGGAGGTTACACTGTGTGATAATCCTGATTGCAAGGTATTTAACTTAATTCAGATCTTTAAAAATTTATTTTGAAAGAAACTAAACACTTGCAAAAATTTATAATTTCCTATTACCCAACACCTTCTCGACCTGATGGTTTTAAACTTTAACTTTTTTATCTAGCAGAATTCATAGTATTTGAAAAAACAAGGGTTTAAAACATCAGGTTGCAAAGATATAAATACAATAAAGTTAGAGCTTGAGGCAAGTGTTCACTTAGTTTCAAGGTTTTTAGACAAATTAAATACGTCATTTTATCTTTGATTTCAGGGCTATGATGTTCCGACAAACTTTGCAAACAAACAGTGCTTTAGTTTTAAACAGGAAGGTTTTTTTCACAAATTTTGTTTTTAAATCACAATATTCATTATCATGATTTTAAGTCACAATATTCATTATCATGTTTTTAAATCACAATATTCATTATCATGTTTTTAAATCATTATTTATTAGAATCAATAAAATCTATAATTTATTTAATGTTTCCATTATGATTGGTAAGGAAATTGTGATATTAAAAATCTTCAGTACAACAAAAACTACTAAATGTGTATAATTGGCCTTTTTTGTTTTCATATTATCTAATATATAAAATATAGGAAGTCTTCAGTTCAAAAATCTAAGGGCATTTAAATTGTTATAATTTATAAACTATAACTAAATTTTGTTCTAAAATATTTGTTATTTATTTATATTCTCTGAATCAATTATTTTTATTTTCTTAAAAGTGGCTCTTAATAAAAATGGTTTCCCCACCTCGCATAGTTTAACTGTAATGCTTACCCCACCTCGCAGGAATAATAAAAAAATCAATGTTTAAATGTCGTCGTCATATATTTCTGATATTCTCTCGGCCTAGTGTTTGTTCTGTCTGGATGATGTGCTATACAATGCATTGTTAAGAAATATTGGAACCCAGCCTCCATATGACAAGGACAGGGTTGACATGGCGTGTACTATAAGCTGCAGGTAAAGTCCCAATAACGTCTTAGTTCCGCGCGGCATTATTACGTAAACACAATTATATGAGTACGTATCTAAGTTTAAATATTTAACATCAAAACTTATAATCTTGATTCTGGGGAATTTCCAAATGTGGTTCACCATCTTATCATGTATCGGAAATCAAAGAAACACACTGTTGGGACACAGCGTGTAGTGTGTTTATGTAATATATTAAGGCTCTTTAATCACATAGCTAAGAGTGTAATTATAAAATGACGCTCTGCTTGGATATATTAGAAATTTTCATATAATGTACCCTAACAAAAGATTCCGAGCGTAAAAAAATTTAAAAAATTGTTTAAAATAGATCGGCGACTTGATAAGCATATTCGTTACGTTACTTTACTTAATTATTAACAAATGGGTTTAAAAAGTGCACAAGTGCCCAGCTCTAGCTCTACTACACAGAAGGCAGACCACTTTTTAAAGGTAATATATCGGGCATCCTTTTTTTCTTCTAATATCATTATCTTTAAATCGCATTACAACATAAAATTTTTATGTTTAATGTTAGTGGCAGACATTAAGCGTTTTTTTCATAAACTAAGGACTGATAGTTGGGTACTTTTAACTTTAGCCGAGTAATTCTTATAAATTTACAAACCAAATATGTACAGTATAGATCGACTTGACCAAAACATTTTGAATAAATCAAAAACCAACCTTTTAGCGACATTTTACATTATAATTCCAATCTTTTGCGGTTACCTCTGCATGTGCAAATGTATTTATAAAGGCAGGTTAAGGGAGGCTGGTATTATGCCCCTGTGTACAAAATGTAATTATAAATGCTGGTGAAGGGAGGCTGGTATTATGCCCCTGTGTACAAAATGTAATTATAAAGGCAGGTTAAGGGAGGCTGGTATTATGCCCCTGTGTACAAAATGTAATTATAAAGGCAGGTGAAGGGAGGATGGTATGCCCCTGTGTACAAATGTAATTATAAAGGCAGGAGAAGGGAGGCTGGTATGCCCCTGTGTACAAAATGTAATTATAAAGGCAGGTGAAGGAAGGATGGTATGCCCCTGTGTACAAATGTAATTATAAAGGCAGGTGAAGGGAGGATGGTATGCCCCTGTGCTTGAGCTGAATGATATGCCGAACCTGTCTGCATATTTCCCAGATGGAACATGGTGTCACAATGACGGGGAGGTAGATTACTACTGCAGGTTTACTAATTTTCTTTTTATTGGACACTTACAGTTTGGGACTCATATAAATATGGAATGAGAAAATGACATTTAAGAAATTCTATGTGTTTTTATGATATTATTATAAAGCATTAGTTTTACCAGAAGCTTTAGAAGTCGACTTATTCAGTGAAATGGGCCTGAATAACACTAATCAATTTTTTGTGTTTCATGTACAGTGAAACCCTTAGTAACGAATACATCTGAAGAATTAATTAAATGTCGTCTTGACAATTTTTCAATGAGTTTTATACTTTATTACGTAAATTTCAGTATTTGCGAAAATAAATAAATATCCATGAATATGCTGGAACAGTTTTAAAAAGTTCCATATAATCATTTAATTCAAAAACTAAATATCTGCAACATTCCATTATCAGAAAGGGAAGAATACGACATTTGATGAATTCTTTCGATGTATTTGTTATTAAGGGTTTCACTGAATGTTCATTGGACCATTTAATATCATAAGTTAAGTCAATAAGTGGCCTTGCTATTTCACAGTTTTACAAGTTCCAATTGATCGAATTGTTGAAAAAATTGCACACAAGTAGTTCCAAAGAGCTTTATTCTTTACAATACTTTCTGTTGAGGACTTAAAAAAGAAATTTAATCCATAAATTAGCTATTTTCCAGGAACCATCAGTGCGTCATCAGTGATCTAGGAGTTTCTAGTAACGCGCTCCCTGGTGGACAGTACAGTATTCCTAGGGTAAAGCAAAATGAACTCCTTAAATCCTTGTTTACCATACAGGGTTACCCACAAAGGATGAGACTTCAGAGACGACTGTACGGAATTTATGCTTATCTATATGATTCTCTGCAACTATAAACTTCTGTATTTCTTTGATAAAACAATATATTAGACCTTTAAAGACCACGTTCAAATTCAATGCTGCAGAAGACTTAATCTAAATTTGGTATTGTCATATTTGAATAGTTTCAAGTCGTCTTTGCAGTCTCATCCTTTGTGGGTAACCCTGTAACAGCTTGGCACTTGCCACAACTTAGTTCATTAGAAAAACAAACAATTCCCTACAGCTTGTAGACCAAGTTTGTTGAATACTTTGGCATTTATCAAATTAAAGAAAATTAGAACTATGCGATTTGGAAATTTTCATGTATAAAACAGGGGCAAATGGTGATATTGTCACAAAAAGGTTTAACATTATAGGTCATTGAATTGATATCTCTCCCCCCAGTTACGCCATTATGACTACTCATCAAGATACATTTTTATCATTTAATATTTACAAAAAATTAGTATTATTGATATTATTGTTATAGGAGGTGATGAACTATTTCACCCTGAACGAGGACAAGGTGGCCCTTAGCAACAACCCCCGCCCTCAGGTAGATATGCTTATTTAGAATTAAAAAATGAGGGAAAGTTTTCCATCTAAAGTACATTTCATTTATAAATTATGCCATTGTTATTTATAAACCACAGTTTTATAAACATAAAAACTTATTTCTTAACTTGTTAATCTTGATTCAGAAACTACACCTTAACGACATATTTTGTCCTAGAACGGTCGGCGTTTATATCAATACAATAAAGACGATATTTCTCTTTAAGTTGTGATTTTTCAAATTACAAGTTTGCATGTAAATAAAGAGAAGCTATTGATTAAAAGCTTCTCTTTGTTTCCATGTTTATGTCTAGCATAACTGTTTGAATTAGCATGGTAGAAATCAAAATTGAAATCGAAAGTCGTCTTAATTATATTGATATTTTTGACGACGACTGTATCTGAGTAATTTACGCCCAATTTTCTAATTTCTGATTTCATTTTAATAATTAAACTAAAGATTTTCCTGTACATTTGGACTCCCTTACTTATACTAGTACTAACCTAAACTTTTTTCACTCTATTCATGAATGTGTTATCAAAAATTTACTGGCGCAATTCTAGTGACACTTTATCTATTTTTTCTACGTTTATTTAGGATAACAATGAAGCGAAGGAAGACGATTGGGAAGTTATGGATTACATTAATATATAAAGTATTTAAAATTAATTTACAAAATAGAAATTTACATTTTGAAATATACGGCATAACAGAAGGAAAATTGAACATTCAGAGAAAAGGGTGAAGAGAGAATTTTGGAAAACTGTGTGTATTGTTTATGTTAAAATGTTAAAATATATTTGATAATGGTTTGACATAGTTTATATATTTTATATCGCTTAACTACGGAGGCCCAGGCATTATTACCCATTCAAGGTATTTTAGTTCGAGTCCAGGTTAATCATTTAGATTGCAGGTGAACGTAACACTCCTGCCCTAGGAGAAAATTTGGATGCAAAAAGATTTTTTTCAACAATAGTGTTAAACAAGATTGGAAAAATGAAATCATCCCCATTGACTTGTCCTTGATTTTCTTCTAAGTAAACCCAAGCCCCTTGCCCAGGGTGAAGTGTTACAGACTTTTTCACTTTTGCAATTCTAGATTTTTGACCTGAAATTGTATTAATTCCTTCCTTAACTTTGCTGCTACTGCTATCTGCCTCATCTTCTGTGTCACTCCAACTACTTTCTTCTGCTCCTTGCACATAACTACCTTGGTTTGCTACCTCATACCTAGTTCTAACACTACTTCTTAGACTATTCCTACTTATGATACTCCCTGTCTGCACCCTTTCTAGGGACGCAGCTCTTGTCCTGGTAGAGTCAGAACTCTCTCTTGATCTGCTTCTTCTTCTCAGGGGAGCTGTAGAGTCTGGTCTCTGTGCCCAGCTTTCCTTGAGTGCTGCTTTAAGTGATTTTGCAATTGACGACTTTGCTCCTCTCTTAGACTTGATGCTTTCTGGTTGCTTGAATTCTGCAACATATCTGTCTGTAGGAACTGATATTCTGCTGGATCTTCTTCTGGTAACTTCCGTAGTGCTGCTGCCATCCAACGAACTTGGTATTGCTGCTTCAATATTCTGTTGGGGGGGGGGGAAAGTTTATTTCCACCGGAATTTCCCCTCCACTACTTGTTCTCCGACCTTCCTGTTCTCTGGTAGGGGTGTTTATTACTGCAGGATCATTATCTCTCCCTACTATTTCGTCACTGACTTCTGTCTCTGGTCTTCTTGGTTCCGGAGTTTTGACTGGTTCTGGTTCTGGGATTAGGTTGGCTGCCGACCCCGTTATCTCTCTGTCATCCGTCAGCAGAAAAATTCTTGCTGGGGACGAATTAGTGGAAAAATGTTGGGTTGCATTATGAGCCAAAATTAAAGTTGGGAGGGATTTTTCCCAGTCATTTTCTCCATTTGCTTTCTTTGCTTTCAAAAGTGCCCAAAAAGTTCTATGAAATCTTTCAACAGGGTTAGATTGATGATTGTGGCTGAAACCAATTTTAATGTTAACATCTAAAGCATTGAGAAGATTTTTTAACAATGCATTATCAAATTCTTTTCCTTGATCCATCCTAATTGTTGCAGGTGCTCCATACAGGCTAATCCAGTTTGTCATTATTGCGTTCACGACAGACCGAGCTGATTTGTCTGGTAGAGGCACTGCTGCAACATATCTAGAAAATTGATCAAGTAGAGTCAAAATATATTTATTTTTATTACTTAAACTTGTAATTGGGCCTACCAAATCGACGCAGAGAACTTCATTCACATTTAACACTCGTCCATCGAATGGGTCGACCTGCTGCAAGTTTACCTGTTCCCTGTGTAAGCAACCTGGGCATTCAGTGACAAATTGTGCTGTGTCAGCTCTCCATCCTGGCCAGAAAAAATGTTCTTTTACCTGTTGTGTTGTTCGTTGTACACCCCAATGTTCACGTACATGTACTGCTAGCAGAGCTTGATACCTGTGCGAGGGTGGGATGACAATTCTCATCTTGGGATTCGAACCAAACTCGTCTTCGAGTAGATATACTAACCTTGTAGAACTTGTTGTAGTTGCGTCTGTCAACCTGAGTTGTTTTCTTACCTTGTACAGTTGCAGTACGTCATCGTGTACATCCTCAAAAGTCGACGTGTCAATCCTTTTTTCATCAATTTTACCTGTGTTGAAGTTAAACCAAGATTTGACCATGAGCATGGCACTGTCTTCGTTCTGAGCTTTTTCCAGGTCCACTTGATTGATCAATATCTTACCTTTAAACGTTCCTATCAAAGGGGGGCCCCTTCCTTCATCAGACCTGGATCCAGCCAGGTGCCAAGGGGGTTGGATGATTGTACATATCTTACCTTTGCACGAGGGGGGTAGATATTCCGAACTGGGACAATTGTTCATCTTTGACAATGTTACCTGATTAATTTCAATTAAATTCGGCTTTTCACCAATTTTTAATTGTTTCAAGGGCAGGGGGAACATGTCTTGATTACCTTGCGTAATTGAATCTGTGTCAGAGGGGGGGGGGAGCCATCCATATGGGTTGCTCTGGAGATCAAATCGGCATTAATATTTGTTTTACCTGCACGGTGCATTACAGAAAAATTAAATTGTTGAATATAATCTAGCCATCGCCTGATAGTACCTCCCGAGTCCTTCATGGTTGACCAGTGAAGTACTGTTGTGGAGTCCGTAACGACGATGAACTTATTCAACCTTAACAAAGATTCAAATTTAGTTAAACCAAAGACCAAAGCGAGAAGTTCACCTTTAGAACTATGGTAATTACTTTCGTAATTTCTGCATTTTCGCCCTTTAACACCTAAAAATTTCTCAACATTATCTTGTTCCTGGGATAAAACTGCACCAATTGCGGTTTTAGAGAAATCTATAGTTAAAATAAAAGGTTTTGCGGTTGGAGAGAAGTCAGGCGTGGCTCTACACGGGGCTGCTGCAAACATCCGTTTTAAAATGTTAAAATTACTCGTCATCTCTGGAGTCCACACAATAAACCTATTATTTTTAACACTGTTTAGTTCAGCCGTAACATTCGCGAAACCTGGTAAAAAATCACGATAATAATTAGTAAAACCCAGGAACGCTGACAACTCTTTTCCGGTCTGGGGCAGCGGCCACTCTACAATTTTCTGAACATAAGATGGGATTAATTTAACTCCGTCAGCGTTGACCAGGTGACCAAGATATTCAACTTCTTCCTGAAATAAATGTGTTTTACTTGCGTTTAGTCTGATTCCTGCCTCCCTGTGAGCATCAAAAACTAATTTTAATAAATGAACATGAGATATCCAGGTCCTTGCTATGTATTAATATGTCATCGAGGTACGCGGCTATGCCGGGTACCCCTAAAACATCTACCAGTCTCTGTACAAACCTACAATAAGAAGCTCCTGCGTTGCGTAGCCCAAAGGGCATACGCAGGAATTGGTATAAGCCGAATGTTGTCGCAAAAGCGGTTATCGGTCTGGAGCTCTCCTCTACCTCTATGGTGTGGTACGCTTGGGAGGCGTCAAGTGTTGAGAAGTACCTGGATTTACCTAAGGAAGTTAAAATTTCAGAAATATTAGGGGTGGGGAAGCTGTCGGTCACGGTGAGGTCATTGACCCGGCGGAAATCTAAAACCCAGCGTGTCTCCCCGCTCTTCTTGGTCAGTGGTCACGGGGACCAAGGGCGAGGACCAGGGAGACGTGCTGGGTTCTATGACTTCATTTTTTAACCAAAGGTCAAATTGGGCGCATAAATTTTCTTTTAAATTTGGCGGAATCGGTCTCATTCTTTGGTTAACGGGCCGGGCATTTGGTACTAATTCAATTTTAAATGTTTCCCAGGTAGTTTTACCTACTTTACAGTCCTCAGTGGTAAAAATATCCTGATTATCATTTATCATTGAAAATAGCATGTTTTTAACCGAAACATTTTCTTGCAAAATTTTGTTCTCATTAAGTTTTAATTCCGCCCAAATCCTATCCGTGACCGCAGGATCCTTTGCCCTATTATTTACAACATTAATAACAGGTTTAGTTTTGTTCTCAGAAATCATAGAGCCATGGGCTATTAATTGATTGGGAGAAATAACAACGTCTTTATCAGACAAATTCGTATACACAATAATAAGTGACTTATCTTTCTGTTGTGTTTTGTGACGGTAGACTACAGGTAGAGCACCATCAAGTAGTTCATCATCAAGGGGTTGAACATTGATGAAAGAAGCAGGGTTTACTGGTACATTAACTTCAATCGCTCTGGTTGTACACTTTGAAATTGTCACAAAGTTTTTAGATGTTAACAACATTACAGGTGCACCCTCATTGTCAATTGCAAAGTCTTGAGGGTGGGGGGGCTTTCGAACAGGGGAGGGGGATTTATCAAAAGACTTTCTAGGGGTTCTAGTGGGGGGTCTGGATCTGTTTGAAACATTTGCAATGAGGTCCTGTGTCTCTGATGTAGTGTTGTGTACAACCTTCGCTGCTAATGGTTCTAAAACTGGACTCAGACTGTTAGTTTTCAAAAAATTTACCCCTATTATAACTGGCAGGGATAAATTTTTTAAAACAACAGCTGAGCCTGAAAAAATTGTAGACATTTGGTTAAACCTAATCCTAACTTCTAACTGCCCTACTGTCTCCATCGTCGAATTTGAACTAGCCCCATTTGCTGAATTCAAATTCGATGGTATTAGGTCACTAAGTTTGCCCTGCATTTGGTTAGTGAAAAAATCCTCACTGATAGCGACGCCCGTTGGTTTAAGGGCGCCAGTATCGATTAAAATTTTAGTATTATTAAAATGGTTACCTGAGTCCAATACTTATAGATGTAAATAGCCCCAAAATCAAAATTTGGGTTATATGTCATTTTTTCCGTGCGTCT